AAATATATATTATTTTTATTTTTTATCATTGAACATTAGCTGTAGGAACAATTGGGGTTTTGCAAGCACTGGAGACATTGAAAATAATACTTGATATGCCTGATGTTGCTTCAGGACGACTTTTATTATTCGATGGCACGGAAACTAAATTCCACAATGTACGTTTACGTCCCAAAAATACAAATTGTGTGATTTGTGGGGAAAACCGTGTTATACACAAATTAATAGACTATGAAAAATTTTGTGGTGCAAAGGCTAATGATAAAGATCCTAATTTAAATTTATTAAAGAAAGAAGAAAGAATATCAGTTGAAGAATATAATAAAATCATAAAAAAGGAATCAAAATCTCGCATAATGATTGATATACGATCACCTGAAGAATATCAAATCTGCCACTTAGAGGATTTCATTAATATTCCTTTCACACAGCTTAGCAAGAATAACAATTTAAAGCTAATAAAAGACAATATAAAGGAAGCACAAAAAGAGCATCATTTAGTGGATTGTAAGACATTTTATATTTCCATTTTATAAATTCTTTAGATAATTTTTTATATGATTAATATAAAATTAATCTTGAACTGTATTTATTTTTGTAGTATATCTTGTGTGCAGACGAGGAAATGATTCACAAAAGGCTGTTCAATATCTGAAAAAGATATTTACTGAAGATACTTTAAAAATAAGAGACATAATTGGAGGTATCCATGCTTGGAGTAATAAGATCGATCAAAAATTTCCTAAATATTAATATATAATGAAAATTGTGTCATGTGTTGTATGTATAATAATATATAAAAGTATGTACATATTTTAAATATATCTTTTATTGAATATTATCATCAAGATAATGTAATATAAAAATTTATTACATTTATAGATTTTTGTGTATGTGGTTATCGAAAATATATATATTTTATAAAATATGTATTTAGATATATATACCATATATATACTCATTTAATACTAAGGTAAATAATGCGCATATACCACTACAGTGGATCTTTTTTGTGAGAAATTGTCTTTAATATAATTCAATTACGGAAACGTTTTCGGTCATAAATGTGACCATCTTCATTAATTTATTCTAATATATTGTGAAGAATATCACGTAATTTTTGGCGTTTCGTTCCGGGCTTCCACAACTAGACTCGTCAGTAAGGCATTGTAGTGGAAGCCTACCTTATACGTCTGAGATAGTTGTTTGATCGAGATTCTATATAGAGATATACGCGTATCATAGCACTTGCGAGAATTTTTGCGAATACCGATAAACCTCTGATGGCGGATCGACGTAATATTCTTCACAATTTTATCTACAGTAATATATGTATTCCCCCCCTCCTATCTTGCGGAAACGCCAAAAATTACATGATATTCTTCGCAATATATTAGAATAAATTAATGAAGATGTGATATATGCTCATTATTTATCTTAGTATTATTTTCAAACCACATAATCAATCAATATAATTTTATACACATTTAATTCGAATATTTTTCTATTTCCTCCACAGTTAGGCTAGTTTCTGGATGCTTATAATGAGAATCTGATAAATCTCTTAATCTTTCTGCTGCTTGTTCCGGTGTTAGGTCCCTTTGTACTTGAGCTAAAAGCTCATAACCGACCATGTGCTTCTTTATCGTAGAAGAACGTAATAAAGGAGGTAAGTATATTCCATGAAAAGTCCAGTATGGATAATCATGGTTCTGATGTGGACCCATTGGAGCACCTTTAATTATATATTAATAAATCAGTAGTTGTAAATTGTGCTAGATTAAAATGATACATAAATAATAAATAGAATATCTGACAATTATTATTCTTTACCATGCCATCCCATCGAATATGGAAAAGAACAGTGAAAGAGATTATCATATTTCGTACATAATCTCTTCATGATGACAGCTAGAGATTCTTGTTGGTTGTCTGATAATTCTTGCATTCTAGTTACTTGCTTTTTAGGTAATATCATAGTTTCATATGGCCAAACTGCCCAGAATGGCACTACAATTATCCAATCACAATTTTCCATTACAATTCGATCCTGTAAATTTATATAACTGTGATTAAAATCGAATCAAATGATGGTAAAGATAAATCGCAATAATTACTCTTGAGCTTTTTCATATTGTATTAAAATTGGCATTATTTATAACAACCAACCTTTTTTAAAATTTCTTTCTGCATATAATCAATGAGAAGAGGTTTCTTATTACGTACATAAAAATCTTTGAGATATCCGTCTTTTATTCTAATTTCATTTGGTAAAAATGAGCTAGACCATATCTGACAGTGCGGGTGTGCATTGCTACAGCCCATCAGAGCGCCCCTATTTTCAAATATCTGGACCCAAGTCCATTTTTTACCCAAATCTAACATCTCATAGATCCATCTGTTGCATTATGCAATATTTATCTTTCAAAAGTAATGATTATTTGAGTGCATAGAGTGCGTTTGAGAAGATGCTATTAGTGCTATTTGTATCATTCTATTTCTCTATTCTTATTTTATGTTGAACGATAAAAATAAAACAACATAAATAACGCACACTAATAATGTCTTTCTGAATGCACAAGCATTATACAAAG